ATTGTCAAGGTATGCCTTTTCATATCCAGGGCGTCACTTGCCCTATCCCCTTACTCCACCAGCTCGTTCCCCTCTTTCAAACACTTCACCCTCTGCCATCAATCCCACCTCTCTCTGAAAATTCTCTTACTCTACCACCCCCCAAAATCCTCTCCCACCTTCATCTCTGACATCTCCATCTTCTTTGCATCCCTTTGCCTCTGCTCCGACCGCCTCATCATCCTAGGCGACTTCAACCTCCACTTCACCCCCTCCTGCTCCATCTCCTCAGACTTCTCCTCTCTCCTCTCTCAACCTCTCCCTCCACATCCACTCTGCTACCCACACCCACCCGCTTGACCTGGTGATCACCCGAGGCCTCAGCATCTCGGATGTCACCATCACTGACAAGGCCCTCTCTGACCACCATTTCATCTCCCTCAACTCCCATATCCCTCTCCCCACTGCCTCCAAACCTACTACCATCTTCTACTGCCCGTGGAAGAAGATCGCCCCGCAATCCGTCTCTGCTAACCTGGAGTCCTCTGATCTGCTCCCCCTCTGGCCCACCTCTCGCAACAACCCACTCCTGCACTCACTTTTCTCCACAGCACCCTCTCCACCACACTCAACGTCCTTGCCCCCTCACCTCCCGAACTGCCTCCTATTCCCGATCCTCACCCTGGTTCACCAGCTACCTCCATTTGCTTAAGGGCCAGGTGCAGTCTGTCGAACCACTTGGCTCAAATCCAGCCTAACGGTCCAACGCCATATGGCTGGACCTCATCAAGAACTACCACTCCGCTCTCGCCTCAGCCAAATCATCCATCTATTCCAGGTTAATCCTGGAGGTGAAAGGCAATCCCAGGCTCCTGTTCTCCACCACTAACCGGCTCCTCCGCCCTCCCCGACACACCTCGCAGATACTTTCCTCTGATTCTCACTGCGAGAAAATGCTGGACTTCCTCTAAGCCAATATCGAGGGAATCCACTCAGCTGCCACTCCCAACTTCCAAGCCCTCCCTAACCTCACCCCACACAATTACCCATCCTACAATTACACATCTCTCCTTCCACACCTTTGAACCTGTCACCCTCTCCTCAACATGGTAACCTCCATGAAGTCCGCCACCTGCTCCCTCGACCCCATCCCTACCCCTCCCCTTAAATCCCAGCTCCACCTCCTTGCCCCACTACTCGCCGACATCATTAACCTCTGCACTGTCAAGGCACTGTCCTTGAATGGTTTAGGTCGTACCTTTCTCACCGTCTTCACTTTGTCTCGACGAATGGCTTCTCCTCCACCCCCCGCACTGTCTCATGTGGTGTCCCTCAGGGCTCTGTCCTCGGTCCCCTCCTCTTCACCCTCTATATGCTCCCCCTTGGTGACATCATCCGCAGACATGGAGTTAACTTCCACATGTATGCGGATGACACCCAACTCTACCTTTCCTCCTCTACTCTCAACTCCACGACCACCGATGTCCTGACAGCCTGCCTGTCCGACATCGAGTCCTGGACGAGAGACAACTTTCTTCAGCTCAACGTGTGAAAAACCGAGGCCCTCCTGATTGGCTCACGTCAGCGCCTCCGCACCTCAGGCGCTGACACCATCAGCATCCAAGGCTGCACTCTCCACCTCTCAAAGCCGGTCAGGAACCTCGGCGTTTTGTTCGACCCTGAGCTGTCCTTTCTCCCTCACATCCGCACCACAACTGGCACCGCCTTCCATCACCTCCGGAACATCGCCAGACTACGCCATTACCTCACCCCTCACGCTGCTGAAACCCTGGTTCACGCCTTTGTCACCTCAAGGCTGGACTATGGGAACTCTCTCCTCGCCGGCCTTCCCGGCACCTCCCTCCACAAGCTGCAGGTCATTCAGAACTCTGCAGCTCGTGTACTGTCCCGCACCAGGACCACATCACTCCCACCCTCGCTCGCCTCCACTGGCTCCCCATCCCCAGAGGATTGATTTCAAGATCCTCAACCTCACCTACAAGGCCATTCACGGCCTTGCTCCCTCCTACCTCTCCAACCTACTATCCCCCTACCTACCTGCCCGTACCCTCCGTTCCTCTGGCTCCGGTCTGCTCCACGTCCCCCGCCCCAACCGCCCTACCATCGGTGGTCGGACCTTCAGCCTCTCAGCCCCCAGGCTCTGGAACTCCATCCCCCAGTGCCTTCGCCGCTTCCTCCCTTTCCTCCTTCAAGGCCGGTCTCAAAACCTTTCTCTTTGACCGTGCCTTCAGCTCCCCTCTCGACTCTCTTCCCCTCCTCGCTCCCTCCCTTCCCTCCCCTCACCCTGACCATTTCCCCCCTGCTCGGGTCATGACCCAACTGTGCAGCGCCTTGGAACGTCCTCCTGACGTGAAAGGCGCTTTATAAATGGAATCTTGTTGTTGTTGTTGTTGTTGTTGTTGCTTGTCATCTGGCACTGTTCCTTCCCCCCTCAAAACAACCACTATCATCCCCACCCTGAAGAAACCTTCCCTCGACCCATCACAGCTATCTTGCTACCGGCCCATCTCAAATCTCCTTTCCTATCCACTCCCTCCATGAACCCTCCAATCGGGTTTCCGTGCTGCCCACCGTATGGAAACTGCTCTGGTCAAGGTCACAAACTATACCCTGACCATGTGTGACCATGTGTGACCAGGGCTCCCTCTGCCTCCTCGACCCCTCCGCCGCCTTTGACAACGTGGACCACTCAATCCTCCTCCACCGCCTCTCCTCCCACCTCAACCTTCAAGGTTCTGTCCTTGACTGGTTCAGATCCTACCTTTCACACTGCCTCCACTTCGTTGCGGCAAATGGTTTCTCCTCCAGCCCCCGCACTGTCTCGTGAGGTGTTCTTCAGAGCTCTGTCCTCGGTCCCTCCTCTTCACCCTCTACCTGTTCCCCCTTGGTGACGTCATCCGCAGACATGAGGTAAATTTCCACATGTATGCAGATAACACCCAACTCTATCTCTCTGCCTCCACTCTGAACTCCAGGACTACTGGGGTTCTACACCACCCCTCCCCCCGTCTGACAACAAGTCCTGGACGAGGGCCAACTTTCTCCAATTCAACGTCAGCAAGACCAAGGCTTTCCTGATTGGCTCGTGCCAGCACCTCCGCATCTCAGGCGCTGGCAGCATCAGCCTCCACTGCTGCACATTCAACCACCCTATGCCAGTCAGGAACCTGGGTATCTTGTTTGACCCTGAACTGTTCTTTCTGCCCCACATCCGCGCCATGACTGGCACTGCCTACCACCACCTCCGCAACATTGCCAGACTCCGCCACTGCCTCACCCCTCAGGCTGCAGAAACCCTCACTCACGCACTTGTCACCTCAAGGCTCGATTACGGGAACTCCCTCCTCATCGGCCTTCCCAACTCTTCCCTTCACAAGCTGCAGATCATCCAAAACTCTGCAGCTCTTGTATTCTCACACACCAGACTCCGTGACCTCATCACTCCCACCCTCGCCCGACTCCACTGGTTCCCCATCCCCCAGAGGATCGAGTTCAAGATCCTTGTCCTCACCTTTAAGGCCATCCATGGCCTTGCCCCCTCTTACCTCTCTAACCTGCTGACTCCCTACCAACCTGCCCGCTCCCTCTGCTCTGCCTGCTCCATGTCTCCCGCCTGACCCACCCTACCATCGGTGGCCGAGCTTTCAGCCTCTCTGCCCCCACACTCTGGAACTCCATCCCATGGTCCCTTCGCCTCGCTTCCTCCCTTGCCTCCTTCAAGGCTGGTCTCAAAACCTTTCTCTTTGACTGTGCCTTTGGTCTCCCTCCCACTTCTCTGCCTTCCCTCACCCCTACACCACCCCTCCCCCATGCTTGGGCCCCGACATCTGACTGATCAGCGCTTTGGGACGTCCTCCCGACGTGAAATGCGCTCTATAAATGTAATTTTGTTATTGTTGTTGTTCAGGTGGATGCTATAGGTCCAATGGCACCATTTGCAAATTTGAGGAAGTTTCTCCCAGTTTCCTAGACTACAACAACAACTTGTATTTATATAGCGCCCTTCACTCAGGGCAGCGTCCCACAGCACTTCACCCAACAATCACCCAGATAAAATTGGTCATTCACTTTATGAATTTACTGGATACTGCTGTGGGCAAATTGGCTGTGTTTGCCTATAAAATACAAAGTCACTAACTCTCCAGAATTAATTGTTTTATTTTATTGTTAACAAAAATCTGTGGGATTCAAGACTGCAATTTTCTTTATTATTTGTGGAGTCCTGTAGCTCAGTGTTTAGAGCACTCGCCTTGCAAGTGACACACCTGGGTTCTATTCCAGGCAGGGCGAAACCTTGGACAAGTTTCCTTACTCCACACGCCTAATAATAATCTGTCCAAAAATAATAAATTGGTCATTTTCAATCCACGACTGTTTGCGGGACACTGCTGTACGCAATTGACTGCTGCGTTTCACCTACAAATGTACGGTCAATTCACTTTACAGCATATTCTGTGAAACGCTTTGAGACGTCTAGAAGACGTGAAAAAGCGCTATATCAAATGCAAGGATTATTATTATTATTACTATTACAAAAGTACTATCAGTATTTCAAAGACCAGTGCCTTCTCCCTTTGAACTAGCCATTATTCTTAAAAGTCAAATTTGCCTTTTATAAAAAAAATTCAATGTTGCTTGTGCACTTTTGCTGAGGCAGATTATCGGTCGTGTTTGTGCAGTCAATAGATTTCAAAATAACCCATTGTGAAAGCAGATTGTCAACACTACAGCAAAGTCACTTTATCAAACGCAAGCAATATTATTATAAACACAGAAACTGAGCAAGAAAATCTTTCCAGCGCAATCGTGCCTTGGCAAGACACTCAAAATAAGGTTCTATACTTCAAATTACAATTAGATTAATATTTATTCTACACAATAGGCTGCAATCATCAAGAAGATATCACAAGTGTAAGACTTGATCATTTCTATACCAAATGTTGTCATTACAATTATACAGTGACTACAATTAATAATTAGTGTCCAAAATAATATACTACCTGCTTTTTCTCTCAATCAGAATAGCCAAATAGGAAGCTGGTAAAGCAGCACCAAAGCCTGGAGACCACATGTAGAATTTTCCAAGAAGCTTCCTGCATTTGGACAAAACAGAAACCAAAATTCATTAACCACAGTCAGTTTCTAAATTAAATACTATATTAGAAAAAAACACTTTTATGTTTGCAAAAGCTTTATTGGTTGACTTTATTCACTGTATAGCAGCATGTTACCCCCCAAAGGGTCTATCCCTTTCTCCCTCTTTTTCAGATCCTTTTTGAGCTGCTGTGTATTTCCCTCTTTAGTATTTTTTAAAAGATTTACAGCAATTGTATTTTTTTTCTTTTCATAAAAACATCAAATCCCACTTCCCCGATGGCCTAAAAGGTAAAATGCCTTGTAGCACTAAGCCACCAAAATCAAAAGATCAAAGGATAGAATTCTGGTCAGTGCTGGGTTAGCTGCTGTCAGGCAGGGCAGAGGTTTATGGTCTCACTGTCCCTGGACTAAAAAAAGTCAAGGATTTCTTTCATGCTTGCTTCCAGCAACTTCAAATGACACGTTTGCATGTAGATATAATATAATAACCCTTGCATTTGATGTAGCGCCTTATCATATCATTGAGACATCTCAAAGCGCTTCACAGAATATTGTGTAAAGTGAATTGACTGTATATATTTTGTGGACGAAACACAGCAGCCAATTGTGCACAGCAGTGTCCCACAAACAGTGGTGGATTGAAGGACCAAATTATTACTTCTTTTATTTTAAGAGATTATTACCCCTGGAAAGCAAACCACCAATTGACCAACAACCGGGTTCCTACTTGCTGCTAAGTAATCAGAGGTTTGTGGAGTACTTAAATGCAACTAAAGTACCAGCAGTTAATGATCCTTAAGAAGAATAGCTGAAATTGCAATTTTTATTTAAGCTGGGCCATTTGAAATGTTATATAATCTTACATTTTAAATTCCAAATATATCAAAATAACAATCTTAGGAGAATAATTTGCTTCAGTTTCTGAGACATAATAGAATTTGTTGGTATATTTTCAGTTGCTATTAGTCAGTTACTGGAGTGTGTGATTTGAATCTTACAAAACTGATTGTGAACAAACATAATGCTTTTACTCAATATTCAATATAAAGGAATCAAAATCATATCTTTTTTTCCCCACAAAGATTTTTGGAAGTATTTAGAATTCATGAAAAACTGTGTTCGTACACTTCTCCACTGCCCTACTCCACCATTTTCCCCAACAATGTCCATAATCAGAACTCCTCAAGCCATTATTAAGAGAAAGCACCTCTCATGTTCATTTACAGTGGAAAATAATAAAGACGAAGGGATCTATTCAATTATATGTGGGATCCATATGTATCCCTCCACCTAAGGCAAATTGACAGATTGACAGTACTCAATGAAATAAACTCATCCTTACATGGAAACAAGTATAATTCCATTTAACTCCAGAGATATTAACAATGCAATGTTTAAATAACTTCTGATTACATTCCTGATCTTGGAGATTTGCATCTCTGCAACTCAATACAATATAAGCAGACTTATTTATTTTAGCTCAAACCCAAATAACGGTTCAATTTATATACAAGGGAATTTCAATTAATGGAGAAATACAACTCCAAAATTTTACAAAAATATTTTCCAACAAGTTTCCTCACAAAGCTCCCTTGATGCCTCAATGTGTTTATCTAGTTAAACTATAAAGGCCCCAAGCTTGATCTATGGTGTGTGCTGAGTTAGCTGATCTCAGCCAGGGGCATTACAATTAGCCTCCATGCCCAAGGGAAGGGAGGAATCCTGATCTTGATCATCAAGCAACTCCTGGTGAAAATGCACACGTGTGGATGTCTGGCGAGGACAAGATCAGACTCAGCTGCAAAACCGCCTCATAGTTCAATAGCTTGCTAACAATGATTGTCAACTAACAAATAGGCATTTGGTTGAGGTGTCAGTGCCTGCAGAGTCACACGACTACTCATACTTTAGCGAAAAATGCATACACCGTGTCAGAAATTCTCCTACAAAATATACATTCAATTTTCTTTCCATTATATTCTGTGAAGCTCTTTGAGAAGTCTCAAAGATGTGATAAGGCGCTATATCAAATGCATGGATTATTATTATTATTACTATTAGAAAATGCCAGTTATACATTTACTGGTATTTTCTGGCACTGCATATGCATTTCTACCACTGTGTAAAAAAATAATAATAATCCTTGCATTTGATGTAGCGCTTTTCACATCAGGAGGACGTCCTAAAGCGCTTCACAGAACACACTGTAAAGTGAATTGACTGTATATTTGTGGGCGAACGCGGCAGCCAATTGCGCACAGCAATGTCCTACAAACAGTTGTAGATTGAAAATGACCAATTTATTATTGTTTTTGGTTTTAGAGGGATTATTATTAGGCGTGTGGAGTAAGGAAACTTGCCCAAGGTTTCGCCCTGACCTGCCTGGAATTGAACTCAGGTCTCTCACTTGCAAAGTGAGTGCTCTAACCATTGAGCTACAGGACTCCACTATAATAATAGTGCAGGCCCACTGCAATTTTTAACCCGCAGATTGTTTTTGTTTTAAAATGGTTTAGAGCACGAGCTTGGGTCACATTCCTGCTACCCAGAAAAACTGGGGCTTTACTGCAATCCTTACATTGGTATAGGCCGCATCGGGAGGAAACTGCAAAGCACTTCACAGGATTCTGCTGTAAAATGGAGTGACTGTGTGGTTTGTGAATTTATGCATTGCATTAATGGAGAAATTCAACTCCAATTTTCAACAAAATATTTTCCAACAAGTAAATGCAATCCTCAAATACCAGAATACCACTACCACAATATTGTATTCCACAATTTCCTTTGTTGGCATATTATTGATGTATACTACAAAATACCCTAGCATTACATAGTATGAGCACAAACACACCAAATTAATCATTTCCAGTTTATATAAAGCCAAAACCAAAGTCTTGAGACAGGCTTTGAAGAGGGCAACGGAAGGGGTGAGGCAAAGGGATTCCGGGATGGAGATCCAGAGAGTGGGGGCAGAAATGATGAAGGGCCGACCACCACAAGGCAGGGCACATGGAACAGGCAGTTACCCGCAGGTTGGTAAGGCTTTTGCAGGTCACAGAGATCGAGTGGGGTAAGACCATGGAAAGATTTACAGATGAGGATGAGGATCTTGAATTCCATCTTCTAGGGATGGGATGCCACGTAAGGATTGACATGAAGGATCAGTGTCAAGTGCTGTATCTGAAGTGAATTTTTTTGGTTGGTATTCAATGGAAGTGAAAATATCAAATACTAGGTAATGTGTGGCATTTCAGCTAAGAGAATTTTGACAGAAACAAGGCCATTTAGTGACATTGGTTTATCGTGATAACAATTTTTCTGCCCATCAAATGATAGTTTCAAAGGTAATGTTTGCATGTCATTGAAACACAAGAAAACAGTATAACACAAAAATATTGCTTTTGTTGATATTTGATGACAGATACTGTAAAAATAAGATTACCTTATCTTATTATCTTACCTGAGGATACAGAAAAACATAATATAGAAGCCACCATTTGCAGTAAGGAATGAGGTTGACTGGAGGATCTCGGGAAGCAGCTTGTGTATATAATAGTCAAGTTTTCGCCTTCGGAGAATTGCTGCAATCTAAAACAAAAATATATCATTTTAAAAAAAAGTTGCAATGATCAAGAACTTGCATTATCATTAAGTCTCCATAAGGCTTATTTTGATGATAATTAAACCAGTATATCGAGGACAGCTCTATATTTGTTTGATAACATAGGACAAAGCATATAACAAGATTATACTATAATTCTATCTAATTACAATACTAGTCTTGTGAATTAAATACAAGAGTAACTACTTTTGTTCAATGATAATGAGTCAATCTACTTGTAATGCTACAAATCTCTGTTTGATTAAGTGTAAGTATGCTTTTTGCCAGAGAGCAATATAAAATGATTAGGTCATAATAATAATCCTTGCAGTTGATATGGCCCCTTATCTCGTCATCGAGATGCCTCAAAGAGCATCATATAGTATATTTTAAAGTGCGCATTTTATGGACGAAATCCGGCAGCCATTTGTGCACAGCAGTGTCCCACAAACAGTCCTGGATCGAACGACCACACCAATTAAAACATATAGATGGTTAAGTATTTGAACTCTTAGTCTCATGGATAGAGAATGTTATAAATATAAACCAAGTTTTTCTGCCATGCAACAAATATGATAAAATATCTGCTATTCTTTAAAAGATGACATTAAACACAATGAGCTATACTAATAGAATCTCTTTGCCATCTTTCCTTTGGAGTCTATTTGAGATATGACTGAATGCAGGTACATAATTTACTAACCATGGCATTTATCTTTCTGTAATAGAAACAATAAAAAAGTGATAAAAAAATCTACTTTTCTAAACATTTTCTTCGCTGATTTTAAAGCGATCACAAACATAACATCGGATTTAAAACATCAAACTTTGTGAAAAACTACAAATATGAATTGCTTTAATGATTGTGTCAAAGGACGTGGGGCTTCTCTCTTCTCTTGAAATTTGAGGCAAGTAAGAAACATTGAAAAGATGTTTTTTTCCTGATATCATCTAAGATACCAGAAAAAAACATTTTTCGAATGATATCATTTTGAAACAAACATTTTTTAACATAAATTTTTCATGTCAATAGTACTGCATTAACAATTGCAATATAGTACATTCATGAAGATTATAAAACCTCTGCTTTAACACACATAGGTTCAGTTTTGAAATCGGTTTCTCTTTACTTGTGACTGATCAGATTACCCACCAGGATATCTTTATTAACTTCAAAAGCAATGAAGGGATTAAAATACATCGACTGTCTATTAACCTTCTATCTTCTGAACTTGAGGCTCGAACAAACAGAACTGAACCCAAAATGGTACATACAGGCTAGGCTTATTACAGGGAAATATGAAAGGAAAATGCTTTCCTTTCGACATAAAAGGCACAATAAAAATATAAATTTGTATTGTAGCTACCTTTATATGTTTTTTTTGAGGTTGAAGAGCCTTAGTTCATCTTGTCATGCCACATATCTCATCCCACTATAATTAGGCTCAGCCTCGTTCTCCTTTGCACTCAAATGGGTGCCCCCAGAGTCACAGTGACTAGATTTGTACCAGTTTCACCCTGACCAGGAGCGTAAGTACAACTTAAACATAACTTCTGGGAATTTGACATTAACTAATTTGTCAAAATAGCCTTTTTCACTTTGATTATTGTTGCCTTATTCTATTTGGAAAATGTGAGCAATAAGTGAACTGACACCTCAAGGTGTTTTTCAGCTTCTTCCCTAAGTTCTATTCCATCCATTGAGTACATGTGCTTCCTATTCTCACTTCCAATATGCAGTACCTTGCATTGAACTTCATTTGGCAAATGATCCAAACTAGGTGCATAATGCTTTGAGCTAACTCTACAAAACTGCTTCCTCATTCCACAGTTCCCCTTGAGATGATGTGGTCATCAAATTTAACAACTATCTTTTAATAAGTATCCAAATAATTTCTGTTTTGAAAGTACATAAGTGGTACCTGCACAAATTCCTAACAGTGCATTCAATACTTTCCCACCTATAGCGACTCAGGTCTCTTACAGCTACCTCTGCATCCTTCCCTTTAGACCTTTATTAACCTACACCCCTAATGCCTACTGACTTTAGTTCATAAAGGAGTCTATTGTGTGATAAGATCGTATTTTTATTTTAGATGTCACGTTATTGCACAATATCTTATAGCTGTTTAACTATCGAATGTGGGATATCAACTCCGAGGAAATTAATGAATTTGCTCCCCTCCAAAGCTAAGCAGGTCATCATTTTTCAGGGCAGGTAAAATAGGTCTATATTTCCTAGGTATGGTCCTGCTAACTTTCATGGAATAATATTTGCTGCAGTCCTCTCTGATGAAACCTTTGTTGTGTTCATTCACTCTTTCAAATGAATGACAATGCTTCACAAATCTTCCGCTGTGTATCCTGCTATGGTTCATCTGTTACAGAGATTTATGGATTTGTAGCCCTTAGAACCAATTGCTCCACTTATGTCAAAATGTTGTTGCTTTATGACTGCTGGTTATTAAACTTTTTCAGTCCTTTTTTTTAAAAAACTTACTTCATTATATTCTTGCGCTCGACTCAGTGGTCTCCAGCTCCCTTCAACCTTTGTAAATATCCACATACATGTTTGTGAAAGATGTCCGACTATCGAGTAGTTCCTCCCCAAGCCATGCCATGACATATAACTTTGCCCATCATATTATGTTACATATCAAGGTTTGGTTATGTTTATATTCAGATATGAACTGCTCCCAACATGAAGGCTTTATTTATTTAAGTATAATTTGTATTCCCCAAGTCGCACTGAATGCAAATCCATATTGCTTAGCAGTTCAAGTACAATACTCTGCTCCCTGAAAAGTGCCTGAGGTCATTCACAAGAAAGTCCCTGACAAATTAACAAACTCAGAGCTCTTCCCAATTAGGAATTCACAGTTAAATTATTCCCAGTTAAAACGCTCTGAGATGCTATCCTTCGTGGAGAGTGCTATATAAGTAAGTACAAGTCGTCGTTGTTGTAAGTTGGGATGGTTGGAAATCCTCCGACATTATTACTTTCATTGCCTCCTCACTTATCCTTGAAATATTGGCATAATTTGCCAAGTTGTTCTTATTGGTAGGAAGCCCTAAATATTGTCCTGGCCCTTTTTAATTAACACACTAAATAATAAGAGCTGTAACATTAGAAACACTCTTCAAAATAAATCAAATTAAATGTATCAAATACATACACTGTTTACAACATATTCCTACAGATATTTTGTAGACTATGGTACAATTTTGGATACAATGTACCTCTCAGTAAACAATCACTGCAAGTAATTTACAAAGCAATGCATTCTGCAATCTTGATTATATTAGAAGCAAAAATATCAACATTGTTTCTTAAACATCTTCTAAATCCCGGGAAAGCTCAAGGTGATAAAGTACAGTGCCTAATACGGGAGCTGCACAATGGTTTGCTCTTCCCACTTGGGAATTCACAGTTAAATTATTCCCAGTTAAAACGTTCTGAGATGCTATCCTTCGTGGAGAGTGCTATATAAGTACAAGTCGTTGTTGTTGTAAGTTGGGATGGTTGGAAATCCTCCAACATTATCCTCCAACAATTTGCTACACAATTGTCAATTGCTCAACAGAAAAGGGCACTCCTCAAATTTATAATTTTCAGTGAATTCAGGACCAGTTGATTTTATTCAGTCAATAGCAAATATTGTGAAGCCCCTAATCATTCTGCAATGTGGCAACAACTTTAAAAATTGTTTATCCCTGCCTATTACTCTTTGGCAGGAACTGGTTCATGCTGGCTCACAGTTCCATAGGCACCATGAGCACCCAGTAGCTCATTAAAGTGACTATCTTCATGCATGAGCCTTGACATGCAATTCAACTCAAGAGAGCATCATTGCTGAGCCTGATCCTATCGTTCATATGCATATACTTTTCAGCAGTGGTCAATGAATAATAATCATCAGAAAAGAGAACTCTGCACAATTTCTCTTTTTCCAGAAACTTGTTTGCCAATTGTAGTACTCTTACCTGTGTAAGATCAGTTAACTCTACACAGAGCAACCAAACCAGTAACTTATTCAATATTACATCACAGGGTGCATTTAATGACTAAACTATCAGGGCAAATGGATTACAAATTCCATGCATATATTCAGCACAAACTCTGGTTTATTACTGAAAGATCCCAAGGATAGTGTGGTGTAGCCCTTCATGACCAAACAATAGGCAGCCATCTGTAGGGAAATTCTGCATTTAAAGATTACTGTATTCATTTAGACTGATATCAGGTATTTACATTATATTCATACTTAATTCCCAATTTATAGAATACTATGAAAAGTTACATCTTTTTGTTCATGACCAGCCACCGGCAAACTTTGAAAACACAGTAAAACATAAATTTTATCAGTCGGGATCAGAATATTCAGTACGTTTTGCACGAAGTACGAGTTAAAGGCAAACTTGTGCAAAACGTATAAAATCCGACTTAATCAATAATCTACACTCCGCATGCGTACTTCAGTGCAACCTATAAGTGCGCATGTGTCAACGGGGTAGAACTTCATTTCCCACGATTCAATGCAGCCGGTAAGTGCAGTAGCAATGTTAGGAGATGATTTGTTTTATAAACTATGACTCTTGCAAAAAATTCAATGTGCTTTTTTGGTAGGAAACTGAATGGGAATCGGGTGCATGTACGGCAATTATACGATTATATGATTTATAAAGATAAGACTTATGCAAGCTTTACCGTCCTCATTTACAGACCTTCTTTAATGGTTGAGAAAGACAGGTCTTACACCGAGGTGTACAAACCAGGACTTTGCTCGATTCAAACTTCAGTCTGTGTGCTGAGTTATCTGACCTCAGCAAGTATAGCAGTCATGACAATTGGCTTCAACTCCTCTAGACTATGGGGATGGGAGGGGGAAGAGAAATCGGATATGGTTCTATCTACCAAAACATCAGTTACAGTTCCCTCTATCAATCACTATCCACTAATCCTCCACCCCCCGCACTGTCTCATGTGGTGTCCCTCAGGGCTCTGTCCTTGGTCCCCTTCTCTTCACCCTCTATATGCTCCCCCTTGGTGACATCATCCGCAGACATGGGGTTAACTTCCACATGTATGCGGATGACACCCAACTCTACCTTTCCTCCTCTACTCTCAACTCCACGACCACCGATGTCCTGACAGCCTGCCTGTCCGACATCGAGTCCTGGACGAGAGACAACTTTCTTCAGCTCAACGTGCGAAAAACCGAGGCCCTCCTGATTGGCTCACGTCAGCGCCTCCGCACCTCAGGCGCTGACAACATCAGCATCCAAGGCTGCACTCTCCACCTCGCAAAGCCAGTCAGGAACCTCGGCGTTTTGTTCGACCCTGAGCTGTCCTTTCTCCCTCACATCCGCACCACAACTGGCACCGCCTTCCATCACCTCCGGAACATCGCCAGACTACGGCATTACCTCACCCCTCACGCTGCTGAAACCCTGGTTCACGCCTTTGTCACCTCAAGGCTGGACTATGGGAACTCTCTCCTCGCCGGCCTTCCCGCCACCTCCCTCCACAAGCTGCAGGTCATTCAGAACTCTGCAGCTCGTGTACTGTCCCGCACCAGGCTTCGGGACCACATCACTCCCACCCTCGCTCGCCTCCACTGGCTCCCCATCCCCCAGAGGATTGAATTCAAGATCCTCATCCTCACCTACAAGGCCATTCACGGCCTTGCTCCCTCCTACCTCTCCAACCTACTATCCCCCTACCTACCTGCCCGTACCCTCCGTTCCTCTGGCTCCGGTCTGCTCCACGTCCCCCGCCCCAACCGCCCTACCATCGGTGGTCGGGCCTTCAGCCTCTCAGCCCCCAGGCTCTGGAACTCTATCCCCCAGTGCCTTCGCCTTGCTTCCTCCCTCTCCTCCTTCAAGGCCGGTCTCAAAACCTTTCTCTTTGACCGAGCCTTCAGCTCCCCTCTCGACTCTCTTCCCCCTCCTCGCTCCCTCCCTTCCCTCCCCTCACCCTGACCATTTCCCCCCTGCTCGGGTCATGACCCAACTGTGCAGCGCCTTGGGACGTCCTCCTGACGTGAAAGGCGCTTTATAAATGGAATCTTGTTGTTGTTGTTGTTGTAATCTCTGTTGAAAAATGTACAAGTGAGTAAGAGAGAACAAGGTCAGATTGGCACCCAGTGTCCACAAACCTCCTGCAGCATGATGAACATCTTCAGAAGGGGAGAAGCAATTATAACAACCCTTTCTTTTGGTATAGTACTTTTGCACGTTGGGAAGATGTCTCAAACCCTTCACAGGATGTACTGTAAAGTGGAATGACTGTGTGCTTTGGGGACGATTGCAGCAGACGGGGGAATATAACTTATTTTTCAATTAACACAACATCATCTGCAGTTTTGGCCCATCTACTTTCCAAGCACCATCTTGAGGAAACAAAACAGGTGGGCAAACCTTGGGGACGGCACCCAAGCAAGTAAAGAAGCAATGAACTTTGACAGCAACCCCGGTCTTGGAATAACCAAACAGGATTATTCTGGCTAATCTATAATGAGAACAAGTTGTACAGTTATCAGTTGGATGGTTGGGTTTACCAGGTCAATGCTATTCCCATGACCTATTCCGGCTAAATATTACCGTGGCACAGTAGGCAATGAGGTTGTGTTTTTTTTTACTGTGTGAAGGTTAATAATAAATCATAATAATCCTTGCATTTGATATAGCGCCTTATCGCGTCATTGAGACGCCTCTGGGCGCTTCACAGGATATACTGTAAAGCGAATTGAGTGTACATTGTGCGGGCGAAGCGCACAGCTGTCCCCCAGACGGCGAGTGACCAATTTATCGGGTTTTTTTTTTAATCATTATTTTGAAGGGAACCATCCGCCCAAACCGGAAAGCCATCCGCCCCAATCGACTGAGCAACCGGGTTCCTACTTACCGCTCGGGAACCGGCGGCGCGAGGGGGCGAAAGGAAACGCGCGCGCGGCCTTGGCCCGGCCGGGGGACCGGAGCCGGGTCCTCTCGACCCGCGAGCGAGCGAGCGAGCGGGGGGCTCAAACCCCCTGAGCCGCAGGAGCTCCGGCAATGAGTATTACCCGTGTCATTTGTTTGAAGGGACTTATTTAAAACCCACGAAAGGTGATCGGTCCCCATTGACCAACGGCCGGAGAGCAAAACAGCGAATAACGAGGTGGGGGTTTGGAAGTGAGTGTGAGACTGGTCGGTGGGTGTCAGTGCGGGGACACACGGGGCGGGGAGGGAGGGAGGGGGGTCTCCCCGCACAGTGAGGGGCTGCGGGCCCGGAGCTGGGCCCCGCTCCCCGGCCCGGCCCGGCCAGGCCCGGCCTCCCTCCCCCGAGCCCCGCTCTCGCCGCCGCCGCTCCCCGGCCCTCCTCACCATGTAGAGCGGCGCATAGATCTTGAAGGACTCCTGCAGAGCGCCGAAGGTGACCTGCAGAGTGGACAGGACGCACGAGGTGCTCCAGGTGTGGCCGATCTCGTAGCAGCTGTGCGGGACGCTCTTGCTGAGGGCGGCCATGGCGACGGCGGCGCTCGGGGCTGCGAGGAGGCGACGGCCCAGGAGGAGGGGGCGGGGCGGCCGCGGGGCAAAGGTCAGCGCCGCCCGTCACGGGCTCGGTTACTGCCGGTCACACACACACACACACAGGCAGGGAGGGGGGGGCGGCCAGGGAGGGACACAGGGAGAGGGGGCACAGGGAGAGGGAGGCACAGGGAGGGAGAGGCACAGGGAGGGAGAGGCACAGGGAGGGAGAGGCACAGGGAGGGAGAGGGAGGCAGAGGGAGAGGGAGAGGGAGGCACAGGGAGGGAGAGGCAGGGAGAGGGAGGCACAGGGAGGGAGAGGCAGGGAGAGGGAGGCACAGGGAGGGAGAGGGAGGCACAGGGAGGCACACGGAGAGGGAGAGGGAGGCACAGGGAGAGGGAGAGGTAGACACAGGGAGAGGGAGGCACAGGGAGAGGGAGTCACAGGGAGAGGGAGAGGGAGGCACAGGGAGGGAGAGGGAGGCACACGGAGAGGGAGAGGGAGGCACAGGGAGAGGGAGAGGGAGGCACAGGGAGAGGGAGAGGGAGGCACAGGGAGAGGGAGAGGTAGACACAGGGAGAGGGAAGCACAGGGAGATGGAGGCACAGGGAGAGGGAGGCACGGGGAGAGGTAAACACAGGGAGGGAGAGGGAGGCACGGAGATGGAGGCACAGGGAGAGGGAGGCACAGGGAGAGGGAGAGGCAGAGAGAGAGGGAGATAATAATAATCCTTGTATTTCAAATAGCGCCTTATCACGTCCTACAGACGTCTCAAAACACTTCAAAGAATATCCTGTAAAGTGAAACAAAAACAGAAGTCGAGTACTGTAAAGTGAATTGGCTGGTGAGAATAAAGTGAGATACTGTATTTGTGGAGAAAAACATACAAGGAAAGACTGAGAGAGAGGGAGATGTATGTACAGACAGAGAGATGGACCCAGAGAGAGAATGGAAGAGAGACCCAGAGGGGAGAGAGAAGAGGGTGTGTAGAGAGAGTGAGAAAGATAGACAGAAACAGAGAAAGATGCAGAGAGGGACAGGAAGAGAGAGACCGATAAATACAGAGAGAGAGAAATAGAAACAGACAGGGAGATAGATGTGTATATATAAAGAGACAGCTAGAGAGAGACGTACAGAAGGAGAGGGTGACACACTGGGAGACACATCAAGAGATATTGATACATAGGAAGACACACATGGGGAGGGAGAGAAAGGTATAGATACTCAGACAGACACAGACAGACAGACAGACAACTATAGATACAGCGAGGGAGAGACGGGGCAGATATAGATACAGAGAGTAATGTAGAAAGAGGTGGGACAGATCTAGATGCACAGAGGTCACCCAACTTCATAGGACTTTGGCTTGCTGGGTTATAGGAGCTGAGTGAGAAGAATCCTTGTCTCTAATGACGAACTTGTCCGCCCCTCCTTGACCAATGATGTGCCAGGCTGTCTTGTTTGTCTTGGAGTGCTACAGTCAAGTCTGGCTAAGGAACCGGGTTACCTTACAAAATTACCTTATGTCTTAGAAAATTGACTCAATCCAAGATGTTGCTGCCAACCACATCCCCATAAAGCCAGCTCAGCCTTAAGAAGACCCTACTTAGCTTCATACATACACAGGAAAGTTACTATTTAGGGGCATTCGACAAAGGCAGATTTGAGCCTTGACTAGGTGGATAGCAAGTACAGGAACTTCTTAGAAGCTTTATGGTGAGCAGCACAGTTCAGCATTCAGCATAAAATCATTGTCCCCATCTTCCTGCCTTTGCTCAGACACCCATCCTGCCTATTGAGATGATTCTATGGACATTGGACGTAAAATAATTCCATCGCTAAATATAATATGTGTAAGTGGGAATATTATCTTATGGAGGATGAAAGAAAATATACAATGTAGAAAAACATATTACAGGTAGAAGGAGCAACAAGAACGGAGTCCTGTAGCTCAGTGGTTCGAGGACTCGCTTTGCAAGCGAGAGACCTGAGTTCAATTCCAGGCAGGGCGAAACCTTGGGCAAGTTTCCTTACTCCACACGCCTGATAATAATCCCTCCAAAAAAAACAATAATAAATTGGTCATTTTCAATCTACGACTGTTTGTGGGACATTGCTGTGTGCAATTGGCTGCCGCGTTCGCCCACAAATATACAGTCAATTCACTTTACAGTGTGTTCTGTGAAGCGCTTTGGGACGTCCTCCCGATGTGAAAAGCGCTATATCAAATGCAACGATTATTATTATTATTATTAAGAAGATAAAATGATGCAGATGTAGCTCAAAACTGTATAACCGTTAACAGAGAGGACAGAATATAGGCGAGAGAAATTTAGAAAAATGAAATACAAGAATATTGAAGGAAAATAAATTAATGCTTTATTTATTTTAAAAAGCAGGCATTTGATGTAAGTAATATTTGGGGCTCGTAGGGGTGCCTGGTTTGTTTTATTAGAGAATGCAACCGAAATCTGAGACTAGGTAATATTAAAATGAAAATCCCAAAGGATTTTTTTAAGTATACACGCCAATAAAAACAGCCCTAATTTAATTATCAATGCTGTTTTGGTTTGCATGACTATTAATATTGCATCTCAAACTAAACTTTCAGGCAGGTAAAAAAAAGAAAAGCTGACAGAAGCAAAAAAAATCAGTAGTTTATTGCATTTGTTTCAGTGTGATTTTTGATTTGCATATAAACATTATAATCGTTGCATTTTGTATGGCGCTTTATCACATCTTCAAGACATTTCAAAGCACTTCATAGAATATACTGTGAAGTGAATTGACTGTATATTTTGTGGCAAAAGATTGAAGCATAGATATGAGTTCCCTTATTATTGAAGAGCTACCAGTATCGAATTATACAAATTTGCAAATTCTGCAAAATCCCCTGAAATAGTTGAAGCAGCAAACTTCAGGTCTTCCAGCTTCATGTTTTTAACAACAAAAACAACTTGCATTTATATACAACAACAAAAGTATATTTGTATAGCACCTTTCATGTTGGGAGGACGTCCCAAGGCGTTGTACGTTCAGCATTTCGGACCCGAGCTGCGGGTCGGAATCAGGGAAGATGGAGGTCAGGGAAGAGGGAGGGTGATCGAAGGCAAAGTCGAAGAGGAGCATCTTGAGATGGGTCTTGAAGGAGGAAAGGGAGGGGGTGAGGCGGAGGGACTGCTGGATGGAGTTCTGGGGGGTGGGGGCAGAGTAGCTGAAGGGACGCCCACCAATGGTGGGGTGGGTGAAGTGGGGGAAGTAAAGTAGGTTGGAGCCTGTTGAGCAGAGGGAGCGACCAGGTATATAGTGCTCCTCATGCAGGGTAGCATCTCAAGCTTTTAATATGTTTATTATGTTTATTATATTTAAAGACAATGATAACTGTGAGCTTCCTTATTTGGTGGAAACAACTTAAATGTTATCTCAACTATTCCATAGGGCCCTTCTCCTTTAATGCTGTAACTAAAATGCAGGCACAGCCTTTGTTTAATGGCATAATACATCCAGCAACTCATTGGAAACTTAATACCAAGTCTCACTCTCATCCAAAAGCAGACAGACACGCTTTAAAACTGCTTGCTCTCCCCGTCTAATGCACACATTTTGCATTTTAGTTTGTTAAATTGGAGGGTGATGGTAAAATGTCAAACGTCAGAAATCTAATTAAATTAGCAGATTGTTAAGAACATGGAAAAGGTTTGAGAATTTGACCCCCGATTAGTGAAAGACGAATAAACGAGCGGTTAATGTGCAGCCGTCCAGTTATTCGTGTGTTTGTTTGTCTGCAATTAGAGTCAGTAATTGTGAAGGATAGGCTCTAGCCTGGAATTATACTCGCAGAGGTAGACATTCAGCAGACTGGAATGTATCTGCCACTGCTTTCCAGTGTTTGTGTTTTGATAACAAATGCCTTAGAAATACTTGAGCTCCAAGCGAACTTTCTAAACGCACAAAAAAGTTGCTATTTTAATCCCAGTTGCTATAAGAGCCCCTCGCTCTATGCAATTCATAATGCAACAGCTATTGCATTCAGTGACCCTTTAAACTATCTTTAACGTTACTAACACATATCCAGGGAATTGTTTTAAATCGTTACTATTATCGACTCTAGGTTTCCTGCCATTTACCCTTTTTCATAGTATTGTAAAGTTGGCTCATTTCAGCATTTTTTATTAATCAGCTCATGACGGAAGATGAGGAACACATAACAGCTTATGACTGGATGAATACATAGCAGTTATTATAGCCCACGCACAATTACTAGGTTTGCAGGGAGCCAGAGGAAGCTTCGAATATCTTGAGAACTCCTTATCTAAACGTGCAAGTCAAACCCTCAGATTCCATCGTCAGTGTGTATGCTTTGGGGGATGGTTTTTAATTAAGCCTGTAGTTATAGTAGTTTTATAATGTGACATTTGTGTAACCTAGAGCATGAACTGATAAATTCTAATTCGTGAACAAGGGTCTGTGTGTTATTATTTGCTATCTACTTTTGGACAGCACAGTGAAATAATTAGGAAAACTTAAATGGCCCCTAATCTAATGATATCATATCATATTTTAGTAATTCCCGTTCTGACCAAAGATCCTAAAACAATGTGCACTTATATAGTGCCTTTCATGCAGTAAAATATCTCGAAGTGCTTACCGAGATGGAATGGAAGCTCAAGCAGGGTTGGAGATGGGAAGGAAGGGTAATGCGGAGGGGAGAGGTGACGAAGGGTGGTGGGGTGGACAGGATAGGGAGGGTTGGAGCACAGTTAAGGAGATTTTTTTAAAACTGGTTTAAAAGCAGAGAAGTGGGTGGTGGGGAGGTGCACAGGTACAGATATTTTGAGTGTCAGCCTGGCTCAGCAGCACTTTCCCCTCTGAGTCAGAAGGTTGTGGGTTCAAGCTCCATGTCAGGCCTTTGAACTCACAGTCCAGGCTGACATTCCAGTGCAATGGGTGTTCTGCATTGTCAGAGGTGCCATCCTTCGGATGAGACATTGCGTGAAGGGCACTATACAAAGGCAAGCTGTTATTGATGA